CCTGGTCAGATGGAGCCAGGAGCTTGTCTCTGCACCTGAGCAGACCCATTGCCGGGTGCTCTGGTGGGGTGTGGCTGATGGCAGGAACACAGTGCTGTCACCAAGATATCATCCTTGTCCCCCTTTTTGTTTCTAGCTGACCCCAGTGGTCTCTCTCACCTGTTAATTTCCTCACTGTTCCCCATTGAGTAAGACAGAAGTTAAGCTCCCAGAAAGAATCCTAGAATTCAAGGGAAGCTGGGTATCCTCTCCTGAGGCTCTGTTTTTCCCACTGAAGAAATCTTGGGCCCAAGAGAAAGCTCTTGGCGAAGTGAGTCCTATGCCAGTGTGGGGAAGGGGCAACACAGTCAGAGTACAGCTGCTCCACTTGCTCTTCTAATGTGACTTTTCCTGATTTTGGTGGTCCAAAGCAGTGGTTCAGCCTTGTCCCACAGTTTGTGCCTGTGCATTGCCACTAAGTAAAGAAAACCAAAGCCAGGGACCTGCTGTCCCACCATCTTTCTGGTACTGGGCCTTCCACTGCTCTTGGTGATTGAAGATTCTACCATCAGCTCTGGAAATTTGTTTTCTTGTTTTAATCAATTTCTTTATTTTAATTCTTTCTATTCTCTCTTTTTTTTTTCTATTCTCTCTTGGAATTCCTGTTTGTGGAATGTTGAAACACCTGATTATGTAGTATATTTTTGTTTCTTCACATTTTCCTCATTTCCCCTATATTTGCATTCTAGAAATAAACTGGCTTGGCAACTTACTCCTCGACTGAGTCTATTCAGCTATCTGCACACCCACTTTTAACAGCTTTAAGGGAGTAAAATTCACATGCTATAAAATCATCTGTTTTAAGTATATAATTCAATGTTTTTTAATAAATTTATGGAATTGTGTGAACATCACCACAATGTAAGTTGAGAACGTTTTCATTACCCACCTTCCAAACTCCCTCATTTTTGTTTACAGTCAGTTCTTGTTCCTGTCTCCTGGACTCAGACAGGCACTGACATATTTTCTGTGAATATTTCATACAGATGGAATTATACAGTATGTGGTCTTTTGCATCTGGTTTCTTTAATTGAGCACTCTATTTTTGAAGTTCATCCATGTTATAGAATGTAGTATTACTATTTTGTTCCTTTTTTTCTTGCTGAATAGAATTTGATTGTCTAGATTTACCAATTTTGTTTATTCATTCACCAATTGATAGACATTTGGATTGTTTCCATTTGAGGGCTATTAAAAATGCTGCCATGAATATTTGCATACAAGTCTGTGTGGATATTTGTTTTCATTTGTGGGAGGATACCTAAGAGTGGAATTGTTGGATCATAGAGTAACATTATGTTTAACTTTTTAAAAATAATCTTACAACATTTTCAAAGGACCATTTTGTGTTCCCACCAGCAATACATAAACCAACACGCTTGCTAACACTTGTTACTTTGTCTTTGAGTATTGCCATTCCAAAATATGTGCATTGGTCTCTTGTGGTGGTTTAAATTTTTTTTCAACTATGACTCCTGAGGTTGAACATCTTTTTACACTTGTTTTAGCTTCCATATGAATCTTCAGAGAAATATCTACTGAAATCATTTACCCATTTTTAAATCATGCTGTTTGCCTTCTTTCTGAGCTGTAAGAATTGTGTGCATATGTGGATACAAGTTGTTTATTAGAACCTGGCCAGGCAATATGGCTAGTCTTTCCATTTTTTAAATGGTGTCTTTTGAAGCACAAAAAGTTTAAATTTTGTTAGTTCCAGTTTATCAATTTATTCTTTTATATATATCATGCTTTTGGTGTTGTAATTTTACGTCTAACCCCAAATCTCAAAGATTTTCTCCTAAAAGTTGTATCATTTCACACTTCCACATGAGCCAGCTACATAATTGCAGCTCTCAGTTAAAAAAAGAAAAGGGTAGTAGCCTTGACCACAAATTATTAAGAGTTTCGAAATAATGAAAGCAGAGCCCTAAGCCAAAAGCAGGGTCTTTCATTACTGTACAGAATACATACATGTGACTCTGCTGTCACATGTAGATCTAGTATCCACTTTGAGTTGATTTATGTGGATGGCCTGAGGGAAAGCTCCAAATCATTTCTTCATGCTGATATCCAATTGTCCTAGTATGATTTGTTGGAAAAAAACCTATCTTTTCCTTATTGAATTGTCATAACACTTTTTAAAAAACTAAATTCATTACAAGCATAAGAATTTATTTCTGCACTGTCAGTTTTGTCAGTTTTGTTCCACTGGTTTTTATTTATCTTCCCTTGATTCACATAATAAATACGAAAGTCAGAAAGTATTATTTCCTCCAACTTTGTTCTTTTTCAAAAATTTTTTGGCTATTCTAGATCCTTTGCATTTCGACTTATATTTTAGGATTAGCTTCTAAATTTTGCAAAAAAGCTCTAAAGAGAATTTCATAGGAATTTCACTGAGTCTATAGTTCATCAACCCTATAAGTCAGTTGAGGGAGAATTGCCATCTTAAAAATACAGAATCTTCCAGTCCATGAACATGAATGTTTCGATTTATTTAGATTCTAATTTCTCTCAGAGATGTTTAAAGTTTTCAGCATACAGGTCTTATGTTTTGTTTGTTAAATTTATTCCTAAACATTTTATTGTTTTGCCTTTACTTCTGGGTTTGGAAACTCAACTTTTAATTTTCCAAGTTGGCAAGTGAATTGTTGGCATGGTTTGGACCATACGTATTCCTCAGATTTATGAAGGCTTGGTTCCTAGCTCATGTTGCCTTTGGTGGTTAGTGGACCCTCTAGGAATTGAAGTTTAATGGAAGGAAGTTAGGTCACTGGGGACATGTCCTTAAAGAGGAAGTTAAAACTGTCTTGGTTTTAAGACTGAGATACAATACCGAACACTCAAAGTTATAGGAGGAAAGGTTTATTTTAGCTCACAGTTTATAGAAGTTTCAGTTCATGGTCAGCTGGTTCCAAGGCCAAGTAGCTGAGCAGAGGGCCGTGACAGAGGAGAAATAGTCCGTGGCGTGGCAAGAGAAGCAGCAGCATCCAGCCTGCCTTTCTCTTTATCCCATCCATGTTACCTTTTGGCTGGTGCCACCTGTTACATCCAGCGAGAAAGAACCAACCAGAGACCGATATTAAATCCACACAGGAGTTTATTACTGGCCGGGACTCAAGCTGAGCATCGGACTCGAGCCCCGACTGGGGGTTGACAAACATGTTTTATACACCTTGAGGCCAGCAGTTTCTACGCCCCCCCCACGGGATAGAACTAGTAAAGCAAGTGAAAGGTACAGAAGCGGAACGTCCTGCTGTTAGGACATTTGTAAAACAATCGTTGATTAATTGTTGTTTCTAAGAGATTCTCTAAGGGGAGGAGGTTTCTAAGCTTCCTCCTTTTGAGTTCATCTATAGGGCAGGCAGGTGGGTCGTTCAGCCGCAATATGGAGTCTGTCTTGCTAACTGGGGTCCTTCACCACGCAAATCCAGGGTGGATCTTCCCATTACCCACATCCAGAACTGTGCTAAGCCAATCAGTGGAGTAATTCAGCTATCACACCCTTAATCCACATTCACACAGCATAGATCCACCCACCTCCAAAAGCTCCACCTATGAGCGCATGAGGTTTTGAGGGACATCCATCTAGATACAAGCCATAACAGACTCCAGCCTTTCTGGTGGGTTTTTTTTTTCTTTTTTTCTTCCTGGCTACCATGGGGTTAACAATCTTGCAATACTGTGACCTTTCTGCCATATGCTACCATATGCGAGGCCCAAAAGAAACGAGACCAAAGGACCATGAACTGAAACCATGAGCCAAAATAAATCTTTCCTCTTTGTAACTTGATTATCTCAGGTAGTTTGTGATATTGGCAGAAAGCTGACTATCATAGTTGCTTTATAGAAACAATATCACAAACTATGGGAGTAGTAAATATAGTTACTCTAAAGCTTTATTTTATTTGGTCTTATATTTTTATTTCACCTCATGTTACCTCCCAAAAAATAAATGAAAGATCTCAAGGGACCTAGATGGATTTAATGTATCTGAATACAAATATATGAGTGTATTAATAAAAAAATTGGAACCAAAAAGAAAATCCATCCAAACAGGCAGCTTAGATAAGAAAAAATTAAAGTATCCAATAAATATATAAAGATATAAAAACCAAAACATCAGTAACAAACCCATTAGATCTGCAAACGCAATCTCAATAGTGGTACTGTACTATGCAGTTGGGAGAAGATTCGGAGAAACAGACATTCACTGTTGGTATGAGCACAAATTACTATAGCCTTTTAAGAAAAGATCTGGCTAGATCTACTACATTTTAAGATATGCTATTATTGACCTATGACACATCATCATGTGCCCAGAATGCTAGATATGGAGCCACAGGACTTAATGTTTTCTGGGTTTTGGCCTTTGATCTTATTTCTTTCTATTCCCCCACTCTTCCCTTTTGAAATTAGACTGCTTACCCTGTTCCATTTTATCTTGGGATTGTATAACTTGGTTTTTAAACAGGGGCTCAAGTCTCAGAGGAAACTTTGGGCTTGGTTTTCTGAGCAATTCTCTAACTCAGTAGTGACAAGCCTGACGTGTGTGCCACAACAGGCTATTTGTTATCACTGAAAGCTCTAAAAGGTTTGCCATCACTGCTCTAATTATTGAATTGTTTCAGAAGAAATTAGCGTGTTTTGGGTTATACACAGCATAGTTATTTCACGTTCAGTAAATTATGATGTTGTACTTATTTGGAGATTAAATATGGTTTTAAGAAATGTAGTTAGTTGTCAGGTTGACAAGGGGTAGAATATGATGATGAAACTTATTCTCAATTCAACTGGTTTTAAAGACTTCTAGAAGATTAGCAAAGCACACAGCCTGACCCCATTCCCCACCTAGACACACCTAGAAATGGGGCTACCTGGTACTTGGTTCATTCCTCTTGGGCTCTTGCCCTACTCTGCTTCCTGTCTGCCATGAGGTCAATGGTTTTCTTTGGCCATAGCTTTCCATCATGATGCTTCTGCATTGGAGCCACCGAGCCATGGACTGAACCATGGAGTAAAACTGTGAGCCAAAAAATTTTTTTTTCTCATTTAAGTTGTTTATGTTGTCATTTTATCCCCACAATGAAAAGCTAACACAATTATCTGTTTTTCATTTGTGCTCTTTGGCTAATGCTTTTTATACTTCTTATAGATTTTGTTAGATCTCTAGTGTTTTTATGAATACAATCATAGGACTTATAGTGTTCTACACCATTTTAGCGTTTATAGAAATTATTTCATATCCTGTTACATGAGCTAAAACTTCTAAAGTATGTATAAAACAATAGCAGTAATTATAAGCATGTATATATTTTTTGTTTAAATGACTTCATATTTTAATATTTATTGTAAAATTTGCTGTTTAATTTCATCTTTGATGTAGCATAGTGTGTTTTGTTGAGTAAATTATTTTATTTAATATGAAATCTGCATAATATGTACTGATTGCAATTTATTGACTTCTTTTGTGGCCAAGATTATAATTAATATTGATGCATATTTCAAGGATACTGGGAAAATGATGTGGCTTCTGTTTTTTAAGGTACACATTGAATAATAAATCATTCTTATAGACTTTTCTACAAGTAGATTAAATGACTGTTTTGGAATGAATGGACCATACCTGACTGTGACCACATGTAGGAAATTTTAAAGGCTTGCTAGAAGTTTTTATCTTTCTCTAAAATTTTTAATCATATCTAGCAATGGCACACATATCCCAAGGTTATAAAATTTTCTAGTATAAAATTTTTAGAATAAGTAATAAATCATATCATCTACTGCTCACAGAAAGCAAGGACTAAATATTCAGTAATTAAAAAGCAAACTTTATTAAATCTGGATTAAAGACATATCACAGATTCTTATAGAGCCCACATTAGTGACTTTGTATGCAAATTCACTGTAATGGAATTATTCATTCTAATTCACTATAAACATGTTGGTAGATGTACATAAATTTATGCTTTCCTTTTGTAGTTTGTGATAATTTTTCACTGTGATATTTAGTGATGTAAACCAGTACACAAACATTAAAATATATATATTGTTACATGAAAAAGAAATAGACAAGTATGTTTTGTCTTATGTTTGTAGACATGTAGTCTATTAAAGGACTAATTTTTAAAGTTTAAAAATCATTCTTACTAATGTATCCACAGCCTGTGTATTTTGTATTTTGACAATGAGTCAGAAACTGGAAGGCAATAGTTTTCTAAGGTCCATAAAACATTTGTCCCATTATTTGTTTTTTGAATTTTGCTTTGACATTGACACAAGCACTCTTGCTTTTTGTTTTGTTCGCAGCTACATGCCACAACTGGCTTATCTGACTTTAACAAATTTCACTGTCTTGGTTACTTCTTTTTCTGGGTTCTACATTTTTTAATTTTATGCATTTCAATATCATTTTTACAGTAACAGTAGTTTTGTAAATATTTTTTACATTTCTTTTTTCTGCTTTATTGTTTACAACTCCATGTTGTTTTTGTTTTAGCTTTCAAAACTCCAAACCGTATTTGCACTTTGTTTTTATTTTGTAGTGTTTCATAATGTTTGATTCAATCAAAAGTTACTTTCAATGTTTCAAATTCATTGTTTAATCTCTTTCTATAATTATAGTAATATATTTCTAATTATATATGTAATTATATATATCTAATTACATATTATATATTTCTAATTATATATCCTAATATAATTAGATTTGAAGGCACATTGTTCAAGTTTTCCGTACTTGAAAGGCTCCATTTAACTTCTTTTTCTGGTCTACTCCACATTATAAGTTTATTTATATAATTTGAAATTTTACATGCATCTTTCTTTCTTTCTTTACTCCCTCCCTTCTTCTTTTCTTTTTTCCTACCTTCTTATACTGAAGAGCTGCACCAAATGTCTATTGAGCAGTGGTTATCTGCTCCTGCTTCAGAGAATGCTCTGGAAATCAGTGTTATTCACCAAGTTAAAATAAGAACGGAAAAGCATATAAATATTTCAGTAGATGCATTTGATAATAGTCAACATCAGTTCATGATGAAACTTTCAGAAAACTAGGAACAAATAGGAGTTTCCTCTGCCTGATTTTAAATCACACCACATATTTATATAAATAATCATATGCTGCTTAACAATAGGGATATGTTCCAAGAAGGTTGCCTTTGGGTAATGTTGTTGTGTATGAAAACTGCAGGGTATACTACACTTACACAACTAAGAGGAGTATGATAGTAACTAAGTGATATAATTTGCAGGTCCACCATTATGTGTTCAGCCTGTTATTGACTGAAATATCTTTATATGATCCATGATAGCATGTGTACATTTGCATGTGTATGGGCATGCGCCTAGTGAATGCTTTATTCCCTATGATTGAAAACAAGGCAAGCAAGCCCACCCTTCCCACTAGCACATTGTATGTCAGTACCTAGTGAGCACAGTAAGATAAGAAAAAGCAATTCTGTTGGGGGAAAAAGTAAAACAGTCTTTATTTGCTGGTGACATGATTTTTTTTATAAAACCAAATAAAAATCTATAAATACTTTAGTGGATTTAGGTCATACATCAATAGTTAACTTTTCAAATCAATGCTATTTCCATACAATAATAAAAAGCAATTTAAATTCACTATTATCTGAAGTAGCACCAAAAACAATAAAATAACTAGGAATAAGTTTAATAAAAGATGTACATAACTGCTATGAAAACCAAAAAGAAAAGTAAACAAATAGAGAGATATATGTAATGTTAACAGATTGGAAGCTCAATACTGTTGTCACTTTTCACCAAATTTGTTTATACATATGTTCAGTGGAAACCCAATCAAAATCCAGAAGGCTTTTCTTGTAGACACTGACTAATTGATTCTTTTTTTTATACCTATGATCTGCTCAGATTGGAGCTCAAGAACAACAAAGGCAAAGGCTACTGCTGGTCCATGTCCTCACAGGCACCATTACCCTTACAGTTGAGTGCGACCATGCTCTTTGTCTACTGAGTGGGTATGAGGTGCAAGTTTTAGCGCCTTAAAGGGAGAAAGAAACAGCTTGGTATGCAGTATATGATTTTGTCCTCAGCTTCAGGTTCTGAAAGGTAATACCATACTGCCTAGAAGTAGCTGAATGACTGCCAATGAAAAGCCACAGGTAAGGTACATTATAGCTAAGAGGTAAATCAGATTAGACATTCAAGAGAACAAGTATATACAGACTGAAGCACAGGAACATTTACGAAACCCAACTATCTTTTGTCTTGAAGGGATAAATCCCACTGCTAAATCAGATCCCATTTATGCAAAAAACCCAGTTTACAGAACTGTTTCCTACCTGGATCATATCACAGTAGTTGCACACCAAAAACAGACTGTTAAATAAAATCTAGACTCTCAATTTGGGTTTTTCTAAGGTACTTTTCTCAACTGAGTGGATTCTAGCAGTTGGCATCTGCCACAGTACAGTCCATAAACAGTTTCCTAACCGTGATGCATTTATTGCCCTAGTTCCCATCTGGAGAAAAGTATCTGTAAGGTAATCAGTCTTAGCAGAACAGGTCACTGGGAGTCACAGTACAGAAAAATTATAAACTACTCATGATTTATAGGGCTGATTTTAATAATCTGAAGCAAATTAGCTTGGGGCCTACCTTAGGGGACTAGTCTTTCTTTAATATGAAAAATCACATTTTTAATTAATAAATTTCCCTCTAACTCAGTGAGGATATGTTTCCTTTAAACCTAGTAGCACTTTATACAAAGGGATTTTAAACATAGGATGAGGTAATGCAGTCCTTATTTCTCCTGTGGAAAAAAGTAGTGAATATTTTTAGGGCAACTTCATAATTATTTAGTTTATAACAAAGACAGTTCACTTAAACGAAGCTAATAGTGGCTTCAAGTGAACCAAAAAAATTGACTTAGTTCACTAATTCCCATAAGGTTCCTTCAGATACCCTGCTGTTATGTAACACCAATTACAAAAATTACTTGAAAACAATATTTTTTGCTTTTGGATCATCTGTGTAATGGAGTCAACAGTATAGCCTTCCCCTGGCTGCTCTTGGGACAATACTGCAGACCGCGAACATGAATCCATTCTCTGTGCTTCCTATGATACCTCATAAAGCTATGACAAAGATGACCTGTTCCACTGAGGCTTTCTGCACTCAGGAAAGGAATCTCACATCTTGGAAAATGACAAAGCAGATTTCCAAACTGATCAATACAATAAATGACTTTTCCCCAGCTTTGTTGTACTTATTGTTACTTATACTCCAGGTCTAAAGTGTAAAAGAAGAACAAAGTATCTGTCAAACCCTGTTACCACTATTTCTGTAGCTGACACTTGAAACACCACACAAGCCCACTGATTCACTCAAATTGAAAATAAGATTTATAAGTGTATACTAGGTGTTGTCAGACATAGCTTGTTTTATTAAGTTTTTCACTGATCCAATAACTAAATTAAAATACCTCATAAGAGTAGATGGTGCTGGTGCCAGTTCCACTTTATCCTGGTACCTGTGGGCCCATGAAGATCATCCAGGTATGCAGAAAGAAAAGTGCTTCCAAATAGTTTCTTGTGCTTTTCCTTTAAATGCCACTTCCAATAATATATAGCCTCAGCCAAGTTTTCAAGTCCTAATTCTGTTCTTGAGTTGATTTTGATTGCCACAGTCTCATGGTTCTCAGCAAAGCTTTAGTAGCATTTAAGGTCCTCCAATATTTGAAGATTCAATGGTGGAAAGAAGGAAAACGCACTGAGCAAAGGAAATACCGTCTTAGCCAATAGCCTGCTCTGCCACTTCATAGTTTAATATAAAATAGTCATACAGCATACTATACATGTCTGCTAGCCGGACGCTGTTACTGATGAGCTCTAGACAACAGAAACACCTCTCTCCCAATATCTATAGACAGGAAATGTAATTCCAAACACTATTGGGAAGTTGCTTCAGGCTAGGGAAATGTGTTCCAAAAATCTATGTTGGAGAAAGCAAGCAAAGGAGACAGCACTTTTTTTCCATCACCAAATCTGATCCCACTCCTATTGTAATTAAGTCTTGGAGTCTCATTAGTGTTCCTGTTTGGAAGGTCTGTTGGCTGCAAATCACTCTGGCTACTGGCTGTTCCTGTGCTGCAGTCTTCTCCCACTAGAAGTAAACATTTCTCCAGTCTTCCTTCTGTTGTGACTTCTGCCTCTTCAGTTAAGAGTTAAATAATAATTAATGTTGCTCTAAAGATGAGTTAAAAACCCACAGTGCAGGATAGAATCCAGCTATCAAGAGTGTCATGTCTCAGGTAGCTGGTTAATGTCTGTCTGTTTGGTATCATTCAGAATTGCCTGGATTCTCTCCAAGGAGTCTGCTTGCTCAATTCGCTCTAACTGCACCTATAGGGTCTGAGAAAGCTTTACAAAATCTCTCTGGACTTGTTCACTGACATCTAACTCTGTTTGTAATCTCTGAGCTTTGTTCTTCTCTTCAAACATCAGTTGTTCAACAGCAACCTTAGCAGCAGTCTCTTTCTTTAACTGTTCTTCCAAATTGACCTTTATTTCCTGAAGACTCTCAAGCTGCTGAGACTTCTTTCTTAATGTGGACCCCAACTGTCCTTTTTCTACTTTTATTCTAATTCAGCTTTTAGACTAGACATGGAAGCTATTTCCTCCTTGCAGTTTTCTATTTCTAGCTGCAGAGTTTCTTCAAGATTTTCTTTTTAAACACTGTTCTGCTTGAATCTGTTCTTTTAGGAAAAGTTTTTCAGCCTTTAGCTTCTCTTCCATGTGGTCTGCTGCTGTCCTCACATGAATGATGTTCTCACGGTATTTTACTATCAACTCCCGGAGCACCTCTGTAGTATCTGGGAGGATGAAGTCTTCTGCTTGCTGAAATGATACGTGCAAATTATGTTTTCCCTGGAGCCTGTCATTGTCTTTCTGTAATCGCACCAGCTCTTCTGAAACCTGTCCCCGTGCCTGCATCAGCACCGCCATCTGTTCCTGAACATCCCTCTTTGCTTGGGAAAAACTTTGTTGTAACTCTTCAACTAAGATCTCGGAAGCTTGGGCTCTCAGGACAAGTGCAGAGGTCTGATGGCTAGAGTCCTCGGTGCTCTTCTCGATGAAGTCTTCTAGCTCCTGTTTATCTTTCATTGTCTTCTCTAGCTGATCATTAGCTTGCCTTAGCATCACTTGCAGTTTTTTTACCTGTAGGAACACAAGCACAGTCTTACCACTGTTACTCAAAAGTATAGTATAGATTAAGCTATTTCTCCAGGGTTTCTCATTTTTTTTTTTTTTGTACATCCTTGTATTGGTACATTTTAGGTATACAATATAATGACATTCATCATTGGAAATTTGCACCTTTACATACTCTCTTAGTTCTTATTTTTTTCCCCCTTGCCAGCCCTCCCTTCAACCCCTCCATCCTTCCCTATTTACAAAGACTTTGTTTCCATTTTTTCATTTTCTCATATTAATTCCGTTCCCTTCTTTCCTTTCCCCGACCCCTCCCACTTCCCCCTCCCTTTTGCCCCTTTTCTTCCTATTTCACATTATCTATTATACCTTTTAGTCCTCATTTACACTTTCAGTTTCTCACACCAGAGAAACTATTCGGTATTTACACATGTGTGTCCTATTTATTTCACTTAAGAGTATCGCCTCAGTGTGCATCCATTTAGCAATAAATGTCTCTGATTTCTCGTTTTTGATGGCTGAGTAGTACTCCATTTTATTTAAAAACCCACATTTTCTTGATCCAGTCTCTAGTTGATGGACATTTGGGGTGCTTCCAAGTTTTAGCTATTACAAACTGTGCTGCTATGAACGTGGCTGCACATAAATCACTGTAGTATGATTCTTTTAATTCTTTGGGGACGATACCCAGCAGGGGAATAGCTGGGTCAAATGGGACTTCCAGTCCTAGTTCTTTGAGGTATCTGATCCATACTGATTTCCACAGTGGTTGCACCAGTCTGCACTCCCACCAGCAGTGGAGCAGGGTTCCTCTTTCCCCACACTCCTGCCAGCATTTGTTATTGGTTGATTTCATGATAGCAGCCATTCTTTCTGGGGTGAGGTGGAATCTCAGCATTGTTTTCATTTGCATCTCTCGAATGACCAGTGATGTTGAACATTTTTTCATATGTTTATTTGCCATGTCTACTTCTTTGTGTGAGAAATGTCTGTTCATTTCAGATGCCCATTTTTGGATTGGGTCTTTAAATTTGGGAGGTCTGATCTTTTTAAGTTCTTTATAGATTTGAGATAGTAGACCTTTGCCTGAGGGACCGCTGGTGAAAATTTTTTCCCACATTGTGGGTTGTCTCTTCACACCTTTAGTAGTTTCTCTTGCTGTGCAGAAGCTTTTTAGTAAAAAGTGATCCCACTTGTTGATTGTTTGTGCTAGTTCACGGGCAACTGAGGTTTTGTTCATAAAGTCTTTTCCTACCCCAATGTCTTGAAGAGTTCTACCTAACCTCTGTTCCAGCCAGTTCAGTGTTTCTGTTTTTATATTTAGATCTTTAATCCATTTTGATTTTAGTTTAGTGCATGGTGAGAGATATAGGTCTAGTTTTAGTCTTTGGCAAGTTGAAACCCAATTTCTCCAGCACCATTAAAATCTCTCATTCTTTCATGTCTTCTAACGCTCTCTTAGTCATTATGAATCTCATTTCTCTGTTATCAGTGAAGAAACTAATTTTTAAGAGAAGACAAATGCCTCTCTTCAATTTAGTTTTTAAGCAGAGACTTTTGTTTCATAGAAATTCAAAACAATAACCTGGTATTATTATTATTTCCTGTTGTTGGGTACCAGGACTGTCCATGGCTCTCTTCTGGTTCGACAAAGAAAGATGTCAGTTTTTATAACATTTAGAAATACAGAGATGTTGGTTAAAACATTATTAGAGCAATACATTTATCAACTATGAATCAGGATTATAGGCTCAGGTTTAAAATCAGGTTCACATTTGTGAAATTCAGGTGCCCAAAACGATTCACTATACATAACAATACCACAGATTTATATTAACAAAAATCAGAACTAGATTTCCCAGGAACTTTTATCAATATTCTTGGAAATTCCCAATTTTTATTTATCATAGCATCACCATTGTTAAACCGTATTATATATTTATGAATTAATTTTATAGTGTAGGATGGTTATTTCTCTCTTAACAACTACAAGTAAGAGGGAGACATCTTATTTTTGTCTTTTCAAGATTTATTTTCTCTTAGTGGCTAATTAAGATACATTTTCAAGGTTTGATTTCATTTTTATTTCACCATTTTTTATTGCTTTATTTTGTAGGTATTTAAATTAAATTCCTCTCAATTTTGTAGGAATTTAAATTTTTTAATTCAAAAAATTTTGATAACATTTGGGTGATAATATCTTTATAATGACTTTGGTTAGAACATACTGAACATTTAAAGTTCTATACTGTATATAAGTTATTTGTAACTTCCATGATTTCTTGTATGTCATCTTTACTTACTGCGTCAATTCCGTTTATTTAGGTAACTCTGCTCAGGACCACCTATTTTATATATGTTGGTTCTTCACAGTTTATCCACATATGAAACCTTACAAAAATAAATAAATTTTTTAAAAAAAAGAAACCTTACAGCTCTTCCAAGCATCTCAGAATCTTGATGACCACTTTCCTATGGTACTCTTTTTCCCTAGGATGTTAACAGATGCCCCACATGCAGAGGACCTTATGGTGACTTTATTCCAATACTTCAAAGCACATAAAGTAGAGATTTCATATGCAATAAAAAAGACATTTCCTTTCCTTGAGGGTCTCCGTGACCGTGAACTTATCACCAACAAAATGTATAAAGTAAGTGAAATTTGTTATGTCACAAACTGATAAACAAGTTCCAAATTAAGTCATGTTTTTTATATAGTAGACCCAAACTTCAAGGTACAGCTAGCTGATGGATGAGTCTCCTATTCTGTACTTCTCTGGTATTTCTGTAAATGCTACTGCAAAGTGGAGAGGGAGTGGGGAAGCAGAGATTCCCTGGATCTAATGTAAGGAATGCTGTCCCACAGTGTCCTCTGGGGTCAGGGTAAATGGCACTGGAGATAGCCAGATCAGAAATGGATGTGCTCTGTAGACATGGAATGTCTTGTACATTTTATACATGGTAAATCATGTAATTCATATAATGCAACATAAACTTAAATATTAAACAATTTTAATGGATTGATGAATAATATTATTGAACTTATTTATTGAAATAGCAATTCACAAAACATTTTATTTTACTTAATATCAAGTTTTAAAACCTAGATTGGAGAATATTAAACCCACAGGGAATGAGCATCCCGTTAGAAAAAATTTGAGAATAGATACATACCATGCTATCTGTAACATTTTTTAGTTTTCTTGTACTGTTTTTCACTGTAGTTCTAGACTTCTGATTGGAATTTGGATAAATTTTACCAATAGGCCCTGCTGGAGATTCCCACCAATGAGTCTTTCTTTTGTCCTATGAACATGTTTTCTCATGGTCAAGTTCATAGAGAGGGAGTATGGTCATCTAATTTCCTTCAGCCCCTCAGGCCCAGTCAGCATCACCTGCTAAGTCTATTCCCAAAGCACCCTGACTCTAGGCTACAAACCAATTAACTTTGAGCTCACTTTATCCTTTAAAATTGCTCCTTATATGTAATGTAAATCACAATGAGATCAGACTCACCAGTGGGTTGTTTTTCTTCCTTTCTTGTTTGGTACTGAGAATTGAACCTAAAGCCTTCATACTATGCTGTGGCCTTAGCCATATATATATATTTATTTTATTTTATTTTATTTTATTTTATTTTTTAATTTTGAAGTGATCTAGCTAAGTCACTAAATTGCCCAGGTTGGGCTTAAATTCACAATCCCCCTGCCTCAGCTTCCCAGGGTGCTAGGATTACAGGTGTCCACCACCATCCCCAACTTCAGAAGTGGGTGTTTTTAAAGAAGAAGGATTTACTTGTTTAATTTAGTAGCTATACAAATGTATAAACATTCTAAAGTGTACACAAGATACCTATATAGGGAAATTAAAATGTATTAACTATAAAATTACTTTCTAGGGCTCTTCTATAACTTGGAAGTCTTATTTAAACTTTCTCCATTCAATATTTTTTAAAGGCTTATCAAGATTCTTGTCGAGAATCCCTGGTCCCTGTCCATAGAGTGATGTACAATGTTCTCAACGACCTGGAGAAGATATTTGACATGGCAGTTCTGGAAGCATTATTCAGTGAGGTCAACAGGGAGGTGTACCCTGCTTTAATGAACATTTACAAAGACTTCCAAAATGGTAATTAAGTTTATTACCACCTTTTGAGGTCCATTGTCAGTTTTTAAAAAACAAGTATAGGGTCCAGGGATTTAGCTCAGTGGTTTTGCCACCTGCTGTGCAAGCGCAAGGACCTGAGTTCGATCCCTGGTAACAAAAAAAACAAACAAAAAAAACAAGTATAGGGCCAGGGATTTAGCTCAGTGGTTTCCCCGTCAGTTGTGCAAGTGCAAGGACCCGAGTTCGATCCCTGGTAACAAAAACCAAAAAAAACAAAAAACAAACAAACAAAAAACAAAAAAAATAAAATAAAAAACAAGTATATATTGAGTTTCTACCACATGTCACACACTTTGCTGGATAGTGGGGATATCATGGTTAATGAAACAGACATGTCATGAGAGATCTGTCTCAGGACAGCTAAGGGCTAAGGTAAGCGCCACCCAGAGCTGCTAACTCTATACAAGATAACCAGAGCCACTTTGGCCCCACCTTTACCTAGAAGAGCCTAGGACAGGCAACACAGAGCCCCAGCTGTGTCACTGTTTCTCTTCAGTGGGAGCTCTTGCAGTGGTCCATACATCAGCCCCAAGTTCACTACTACTGGCCCTGGCGACAGCTTAGCTGTGAGTACAATATCCACTGTGGTTTAGCACCACACACCCATGGAAGTCAAGATCTCTTCCAAAAACTCCAACGTCCTAGCTTTAAGGGACTGAGTTATAAGATTCACCACTTTGAAGGAAGACCACATTATGGCTTCCTACAGCATCTGTAGTTCATATGGGGTCCTTCTCAGTCACTTGCCATGGATCATTTTAAAATCTAAGCCCAGAGAAAAGTCTACCTTTATTAAGTTGCCAAACTAATGTGAAGAAAGTTAACCCTGGTCAAATTTTCCTTTAAAGAAGAAGTGATTTTTTTAACCTTCTATCCATGAAGAGTGAAACAAACATTAATCCCATTTACTGCTATGCAATAAAAAGGATGCCCTCCAAGTTTTTTGTAGATTACTTGTCAATAAAACTTTATTCCAACAGTTTGATCTCAGTTAAGTGTTCCAAGTACAAGACAGAGATATCACAAGAAAAAGGGGCACATGTCCTGGGAAAGACCAGGAATAGAGGTATGAAAGGATGTCTGTGGAATGCTCACAAATTGGATTTATCAGAATTTGAAAGTGAGAAGTAGAAACTGACTCACATAGATGGGAGGAAGATTTTGAAGCATCTGCCATTTAAAGCTAAGAATTTAAAGTTTGTTTACTAGACAATAAAGAAATACTATAGGTGTATAAGTGGGGGGAAATTTTAAGCCAAGTGTCTAGGGCTTGGTCATTAGTGTGAAATAGTAACCTCATCAAAGGAAGAATATTTTATATTTCAAGTCAGAAAATGAATTTTAAAAATCAAATACTTGGGCACCAATTGTGAGTCAATATTCTATTTGTTACCAGGATGCCCCAGCCTGAACATAGGAAGTTATCTTTACTGCCCAAAACGCATGACATCTGATGTTCTCCAGGGACTGTGAGATGCCCCTGTCCCGAGCCCCAGTGTCCACATCTCACTCCTTAGTTCCTGATATTCCCTGTGCTTTGCACACCCTGAGTGTCTCCTCTCTGTGAAGTAAACATAAAGGCTCCCTGTGGAGATCAGCTCCTCTGCCCCCGGGATGACCGTGAACTTTGTCATGTGGGACCCACTGAGCACTGAGTGACTGGAGGGCTGGGAATTCCTAAGTGTGGAATTTTGGAAATGTTGTCTCTGGTCCCTGCTAGAGATCTCTAATTGCTTTCTTCTCTATCCATCTCTTCAGTGATCCATGACAAACTCTATCTCCAAGAAAGTGATGGAGAAGAGAGAGAGGAGAGGCCCAACACCCAGCTAAGGCTTGAAGAAGGTAATTATAACTAAGCAAAAAACAGATTCTTACCTGCACAGAGCAAAAAGAGACCAAGGCGACCTCTAACGGAGACTGTGAGCAAGGAGAGAAATGCGGGAGGACCATGAAGAAAGCAGGAAAGGAGTTTGTATATGAGCCTTGTGTTCGTCAGCTTTCCATCACTGTGACAAAGTACCGGAGAGATATTAGGTAAAAGGTGGAAATGTTTACTTAGTTTGACTCATGGTTTTGGAGGTTTCGGTCCATGGTTGCTTGGTCCCATTGTTTGGGGCCTGTGAAGAGCCCAAACACGGTGGAGTGAAGCTGCTCACCTCATAGTATCTGGGAGGCAAAGAAAGAGAGAAGGGGCCATTGTCCCAATATCCCCTCTAAGGGCATGTCCCCAGTGCCCCAACTTCATTCCAGTAAGGCCCCACCACCTAAAGGATTCATCAGCTTCCAATAGCACCATTGGCTGGGGACCGAGCCTGTGGCCCATAACCCTTTGAGGGACATTTAAGATCCAAGCCATAACAAGCCCCTAAGTGAATGTGGGATCATGACTGAGTAGCCACAGCAAGGGACAGCAGGACCAATACCTAAGATGAAGGAACCAGAGCTCAGTGTGTCAGGAAGCATTCTTTAAAGGACTGACTACTCAGATGTAATTGTGATTTAGGAAAAGATCTCTGTAGGAGATCAATATGAAGCTGCAAAGAGATAAGAACTATGGCCCGTGGCCACCATGAAAGAGAAGGCCCTTGGTAAAAGAAAAACTCCTTTTTTATTGATACCTTCACATTCATAGCACTTCCGACATAAAATGTGAGTGGGGTTCTCTCCAGCTCCTACCAATATTCTGCAAATGCTAACAGCATGTTCTGTAGTTTACTTCTATCCAGGCTTTTACCAGCCAGGATTAGCACAGCCTATATGTTAAGGGCTCAGTCCCCCAAGACAGCCCCCCTTCAGATGACAGTTACGAGCCCAGGGCGTAACCAGGAGCAGTGTAGTTTGCCTATCATCCCAGCTACACTGGAGGCAGAAGGAGGAGGATTGCTTGAGCCCAGGAGTTCAAGGCTAGCCTGGAAATTCAGTGAGGCTCTATCTCCACAACAAAAGAAGTTCCAGGTACCAACTGACTCTGAATTCCCACAGCCCTCTTCTGGAGTTGGATAATCTGCTAACAGAGCTCACCCAACTCAGGAAACACTTACTACAAAGCATACAATTCATTATAAAAGAACCCAAGAATGGCCAGATAAAAGAGAAGTAAATGGGGACGGATATCGAATTACCATGCACTTTCTGGGCATGCCACCCTCTCAGAACGTCCACAAGTTTGCCAGCTCAGTAGTTCCCTAACTCAGTCATTTAAGACTTTTATTAAAAAATAGGAGTTCCTTTCCACAGGCCTGATTGAGTAAATCCCTGGGCCTTGGTGACTATGTCAGCCTCCCACCCATCTCTCCACCCTGGAGGTCAGGGAGCTCTGACCCTCCAATCAAGTTTAGTTTCCCTTAGCAACCAGAGCTTCCCCCCTTAGGGGCTTTCCAAAACTCACATTGTCAACATAAACTCAAGCATCATTGAAAAGAGCGGGTTAGGGGCCGGGAATTTAGCTCAGTGGTTTCACCACCTGCTGCGCAAGCACAAGGACTGGAGTTCGATCCCTGGTACCAAAAAAAAAAAAAAAAAAGGGCTGGTTATGAATAGCAAAAGAGGCTCTTTCCATTTCCACCACTTGGGAAATTAAAAAGGGTTTCAGGAGCTCTGGCCAGGAGCAGGGGAGCCAGACCTAAATATCTACTTACTATATCACGAGGTCCTACTTGGTGATAGCAGAAGAGATGGTTTTAAACGTGGGGACTGTTGTTCAAGGGCAGGAATATTCATGTAGAAAGACACAGGAAGTGGTAAAGATGTGAGAAGAGCACATGAACACTTTGAGAGAGAGAGACAGGAAGAAAAGGGGAAATGAAAGGACAGAAAGGGGTAAAGGACACCAATAAAAAGAACCTTGTTATTAACTACTCACTCTATTGAGTGTCTCCTCTTGGCCATTGTGAATTTAGTGTTCAGGGGACCATTGGAGACTGGTATCACTTAGGTCCCCATATTAGCAGATGAGGAAACTGAAATCTATAAAATCTGTGTATGGAATTTGCCAAGGGCCAGATGAGCAGGGAGAACTCAGGCACTCTGATCTGAGAGCCAGTGTTCTTAACCAGGTAATCTAACAAAAAAGGTAGAAACTTGAAACAAAAGTAGGGAAATATCTGCAGAAAGACACAGGAAACAAATAGCAAGAGTTCCCAGAGGTGGAGGTGACTCAGCCACAAGATCCACGGAAAGGCCAACAAAGAAGAGCCAACAGATGGGGGGCGGGGGGGGGG